AGACGCATATCGTCGGGATGTGCAGAAATTCTTTTGACGACGTCTTCTAAAATCTTGATTTTCTTAAGTCTACATGAGTAGTCTTTCAATTGCTTCTCGGAATCGTTCGCTTCAATTTTTTCCTCCGGAATCATTGGGTTCTATAGTCGACAGCATCTGGACAAGTTTTTCTTCAGTAGGCACTCAATCAATTGACAACGGATAGTTTTCATCTTTTAGCAGCCTTATTGGCAACCAAGAGTCATAACTCCGTGTTTATTCATGAGCTGACAGCGTTTCATCCAAGCTCTTACCAGACAAAAGCGAGAGCTGCAAGTGCAGCACCGCTTTGGCTACCAGAGATTCTTTTTTACCGCTTTGACGCCAATCCCAGCCTTTTAAAATGACTCTAAGTTTCTTAACTGGTAGCTGTGAAAAGAAAGCGAACAATCGGGACATATCACTGGCTGTAGATATTCTTACTTGTGCGCTTCGAGGTCCAATGTTGTCATCATCAATGACAACGGCACCGTCACCAACACCTCGCTCTTGAGAATCTGCAGCAGCTGCCAAAGCGCTGTTTGTGTTTGTTGGCGAGCTGGATTCTGGCCCCCCATCAACAGATCTTTCAACGATGACGCGCTCCTCGCTGCCGAATCGGAGTATGCGCCGTTGAGCAGAAAGTTCTTCAGCGGATGTTCTTGTGGCAGGAAGTGGCTGACCGACACGCTGAAAGCGAGTACTTCTCCAAAGTCGCGGAGATTCTGAACCTTCTGCCATTTTTGCTGTTGCGATAAAAGAGAAAATGAAGGAAACTATTGATAGGCAGGCTGAAGACTGTGTGCTTCAAGGAATCTGTAGGGGACCAGATAATTCGCTCAGTAGAGCGAGAACTTCGAAAGATTTTTTCGATTGGGAGTTCTTTTTCGAAGAAGTGTTCGGATTCTACTGCCTTTTTTGACTTGTTTTTTGAATTCAAATGAATCAGAAATGGATCAAGGTCTGTTGGCGATAGCCAATAAGTCTCGACTTTAGTGATTTGCAAATGCTTACTGTGTACTTGTCATGTTAATTATTCTCGTCCATGATCGTCCATATGAAGTGTTATATGTATTAATGAAAACAATAAATGAACCAATCAGGAGCGATATTTGGTCCATCCACGTCCATCCATGCCCGACCACAGAATCCTTAGAGAGGGCCTGAGTTTTACGCATGAAAGTCGGTAACTAGTTGAAAGGGCTAAGAGCCCTTTTTAACTAAGGGAAAATCGTGCTTATTTTTGAAATAGGACAAGAAGTGAGCCTGAGTGCTGTTTAATTACCGCGACAAAAATGTTAGAATTCCAGCTCGTTTCAAAACAGTGGAACAAATAAGACGGGGCTCCATCAAGCTCTGACTAAAAGCTTAGCTTATTTTCCATCACCTTCCGTCAGCACCCTTCCCAGACATTGTTCCCAACTTCCCCCTCACACGTCCAGCCCGCCCTTCTCCTCCCGCCTCAGCTGCTCCGCCCTCCGCTCCATGCCGCCCAAAAATCTCTTCACCACAACTTCCTTCTCCCTCTACCTCTCCAATCTACCGAACATCTGCCACATGAGCTCGGCCGGCCTTTTTGCGACGATCGCGACCGCCCTTTCCGCTGCGGCGGCCACCCTCTCCATGCCCTCGCGCATCTCCTCGACGCTCTCGCCCCCCCGGTACCCGGCCTTGGAGAACCTTGGTGCGGCCGCCAGAAACCGCCGCAAATAACCCACGTACCGGCTCACGGACCGTCCGCCCACGCTTCGTCCAACCCGTGTCCCCAGCCACCGGTATTCGCACACCACCGCGAACAACTCGCGCGTCCGCCCGGCTAGCGCCAGGTGCCGCGCCAGCTCGCGCCCCCGGTTACCCCCGTCCGCGCACTCCGCGTCCGGCGCCGGCTCCGCCCACCACGCCCGCTTGTCGCTGCGCCCCGCGCCCGCCCCAAGCCGCGCGTGGTACCTGTCCACCACGCGCGCGTGCGCCGCCTGCAGGAAGCCCCCCGCGCCGCTGCGCGGCCGTGGCTGCTGCGGACGGGACTTGTGCGTCCAGCCGAAAGCCGCCGTCGCGCTGCTCCAGCACCACCATCCGGTCCAACGTCTCCCCGATCCGCGCGCTCGCCTCCGTCGCCACACCCCACAGGCACCCCAGCACGACGGCCGGCACAGCTGCTGCGGCCAGCACCGACGCCAGAGTCGCGAGCAAGCCGTCCACGCCTCGCACACCGCTCCGTACAGTCCCTCCTCCTCTTCAGACTCATCCTCACAATCGTCCGCCACCCCTCGACGAAATCCTGACAGAGCAACCCCTTGACAAATCAGGGTTTCTGTGTGAGCACTGGTTCGGCTCATTTGCTTCAGGAGCAAAACGGGAAGGAGGAAGTTTTTTGTCTGCCATGATGTTGGGAAAGCTAGAGATCGTGGTGTGAGGTTTGCTCATGTTCCCAACTTGCGTCTCCCTGGCCACGTGTACACATAATAGCATTTTACCGTTATTTCAAATCTACAAAAGCCATGGATTTGAGGGCTTGTCTCATAAGAGCATCCCCACCAGTGAGGCTAAAGTTGTAAAAAAACGAATTTTTACAACTTTAATATTTTACACCCCTCTTCACTACTCCCACCGTTTCGAAAAGATGCATTACTTTTTACATCGAGATAAATTCGGGTTGTAAAAATCGAGAATATAGCACCAAAATTTAGAACTATGCATTTGAGGTGGCAAACGCTGATTGGTTCAAATTCCATTTTCCCGCGAAGTGAAAGTTGGTTGAAGGGGTCTTGAAGTTGAGCCTCTCTCTCCAGTGGAGAGGCGAGTCTCCACCAACACTCCTCCCCATCCTGTTCATGTCTGCACCAAACGTAAGTTTGTCTGGCAGCCACCGTACGTCTTTCGAAGGGACAGCCGTCACTAGCAGTTGCGCACCTCGCTCTCGTTTTGGGTTGGGCTCGAGATTTGGCTTTTTCCCCGGATAAGAGCCTTTGTGTTTTGGGGGCTCACTGTCGCTGTCCGAAGACAAAACATCCTCAACAATATCGAGAATGTCGTCCTCCACGAAGTCAGAGATGCCAATGGTACTCCGTGGAGGTTGTAAAGGCGTTTGCATCGGACTTCAGTGAGTAGGAGCATGCACTTCACAAGTAGGAGGGTGCGGTTTTTTGCCGGTGGGGTTGACCTGCAGGTCAATGCAGTTCTCGGCAAGGTCTTAAAAAAGCAAAGGTGTATAATAGCGAGAGGCCAATCAAGGCTCGCCAAGTTTCTAAAATATTTAGCACTTTACACTCGCCGGTGGGGATGCTCTAAGGGGAAAATCCTTAATTAAAAAGGGCTATTGTACGGTTTTCTTGTTTCTGCTCTGCTCACGACGCTTCCCGTGGCCATTCAGAGAGTTCCACTTGCCCCTACTTCTCCTTGTGCAGTGTTGTGCAACCAGAATAAGGACCAGTAGCGCACCTGCACTTGTTGTGACTCTTCGCTACTTACAGTCAGGAGATTAAGTTTAATGTCAAAGATTAACATCGAACTGTCCAATGAACAAAGTACAAGTTATAAGTGGTATGATAGGGAGATTCGGGTAGGAATCATCCCGGACTCTGGAACGGGTCTGATTGGTAGTGAATCATCGTAACATCAGGCTTGTACTGTAGGTTTTGCGTCCGAAAATGACAGTGTCTGTGAGTCATATTTCGATGTCATGCGGAACAGAAATTTGTGTTCGAAAAATCTCTCTTACAGGTCATCTTTATGGACGCATGGAGGTGCCAGTGACTTATCCCCATCAAAAAAAGGAAAATTTGGGTTGTTTAACTCTCGCCATGCGCTGTTCAAAAAAATTGGCACCTCCTCTTGTACTGTACTGTACACCTGTGACTTGTGCAGTTGCGGGCAGCGTACAGGGTCCATGGACTTTGCACACGTCTTCGACCTTCTCGATTTGTGTTTTCAATAAGCTGCTGCGAACTATGAATCCGACCTCTTCGGCAAGGGCACCTGTGACCATCAAACCCACAAACGCGCCAAAACGTCGAGGTCGGCCTCGGTCACCCGTATTCGGGTACTTTCAGAGGATTGTGAGTGAATCAGGCGAATTTCAAGGTAATAAGTGTCGTTTTTGCGCTTTTACATCGCGAGATCGTTCGGAGAATCCGACCTACCTCACCCGTCACATACTGCGTAGTTGTGATGCCCCGCAGGAGGTCAAGGACGCCATGGGTGCTCGCCAGTTGGCCAGTCCAGGAACCACCTCGCGAGGTAGCCTCCAGAAGGCAACTGCGTTTAGTTCTGCACAGGATCCGACACCACCAGCTTTAGGCAGCCGTTCACAACCCTCTGAAATTGGGAGACCAGACCCGGAGTCAAGCCATCTACGGCAAAATGATGTCGGGTGTCGGCGAAGGGACCGCACAAGCACGCTCCAACTTCCCGCTGCGAGTTCGGTCACCTCTGCCCCAGGTGCCTCTCTTGACGCTCAGCAATCTCAGGCCTCCAAACAACGATCACAAACTAATCAATTGATAAACCAAGGACTCGAGCACCCGGAACAGTCTCACCCAGAAGCTGGTGCTGTCCCTTCCGCCGCAACGCGCACTATCGTTCAATCGCGCGGAGTGACTAAGTCGCGTCGAGGCCGCCCTCGATCCCAGGCGTTACTACATTTTCGTCGCCACGTTGATGAAAAGGGAAACTTTATTGCAAACCAATGCTCGCACTGCACATTTGTCTCTCGAGATCGTAGCGAAAATTCCACGCTGCTGCTTCGTCATTTGTTGTCACAAGCATGTGGAGCTCCAGAGACCGTACGGGTTGTTCTGCGGGGAAACCGCTACACAGTTGATGGCAAACGAACAAGTAGGAGTGAAGGAGTCGGGTCTGAGACAGGCCGAAGAACAGGGTCAAAAGCGGCCGGTGTTCGTGCAACCGGCGACAAAGTGGAATCGCATGGAAGGAGGGCGGGGGCGGTTTCTGTACTTAAATTTTCACCCGAGAATTTCGATGTCATGGCGACCGCCATTGTGCGTTTCTTTGTTCGACATGCGATAGACTTTCGAGCTGCGGAATCGAAATTGTTTGCAGATCTGCTAGAAAGCGCGGCCATTTCACAGGGCACGAACGAAAGGATCGATCAAGGCTTTGCGGATTCGAAGAAATTGCAGCATTGTTCAGGCGTCCCCGAAAGGTACACAATACCACACGGGAATGCTCTTCAAGCATTCTGGGAGCATAGCCCTGCTGCACAGTTCGTGGATACAGATCTATCCAATATTGGGGAATTTCCGTCATCTAGGTATCTCATAATTTATTTTCCAGACTACGCAAATGCTCAGCCATCTCGCCACGCACTTCGACGACAGCCCACCGAAGACGAAGGGAATTCGGGTGAGGCATCGATGATTGCGTCAACGTTTCTTTGGACATCTGGTGCAAAATTATACTACATTGGCTCGCGGAATTGCTCTCACGATTTTAAATCATGCATTGCAGAGCTAGTGTTGCAGTCGAAAGAAACGTGCAAACTTGGGAAAGCTGCTCTAGACCAAGTTTTTATTGGAAGGCCATTTGAAACTAGTGAACAGTCCGCTGACGTAACCAAGAATGATCCAGTGAATACCTGGATATCAGATGTGCCGCGCGAAGTAGATATTTTGGCCCAACAGCTTCTCACTCAAGTACCAGTACTATCAAGATGCGTCAGAAGGAACACTTTGTTGGCCTCCTTTTTTAGAGAAACATATAGCAGTAGGGCCGCTGTGATGTTGTTTGGCAGAAACTTGGCAGAGAAAGAGCAATGTGCGAGATACAAAGCTCACATAGCACTCCCACTGCAGCTCACGCGGTGCTGTGATGCGGTTGAAAATGCTCAGCAAACATTCAAGATCCTGTCACATGCACAGTCAAGTCACAAAGATCGTCAACGGTTCCAGGAGACGTCAAGTTTTTTGCATACCATTAACGAGGAAAGTGCTGGCAACGTGCAGCTTTGTCAGGAGATCACGCGTCTTGTTCTATCCCAGCCTTACCTGAATGAGCTTGAGATTTTTATCGCTGTGATGAAACCTTTGGCGAAGTTGATCGAGAAGTATACATGTGTTGATGACTCACTCTCTGCGAGTGATATGGGCTCCTCAGCCCCTCTTGCTTCGGGAGGACGTTCGCTGGCTCATGTTCTTCCTGACTGTTTTAGTACCCTGCGAGATATTTACAAAGAACAAAGGCCAGAGTTAGAGAACGATCTCCGCCTGCTGCGCGCAATGTCTGCTCGTCGCCTCATGGGCCAAGGTGGGGACGAGTATCCGCCAATTGTTGGAGACATATGCTACCTCGCTACATTTCTAAACCCTACCTCCAACTTGGCTGCAATGAAAGGTATCACAGTCGACGAGTCGTGGCGTCGGGCGGTCTCATTTTTGCATTTCCAATACGGCTCCCGTTCTGACGTGGTCTTGGATAGGGCCATTGAACAGCTTCAAGACTTTCACCAGCGATCTGGAGCTTTCGCAGAGCCAGGGATCTTCATAGCCCCAGATGAGACTGAACAAGAAGATCCACGAATTTGGTGGCAGAAGCATGGTAGGCTGGCACCGGATCTCTTCACCATTGCGTTAAAAGTACTAGACGCACCAACAGCCGCGTTTCCTATTGTGAAACTTGCATCGGAGATGAACGGCCGACATTCTGATTTATACAGCACGGAAAAGGACGAGTTGATGGAGAAGAAGAGATTTTTGCTGTGGAATTTAAGGCTATCTGAACGTGCTGACACGTCAAAAAATGTCGATTCCTTTCTAGGACCCCCCCATTCGAAAGGAGAATCATAGCAGGAGGGATGTGACTCGGCGCAGTACATATTGACAATGCAGCACGCGCCATGGGTACGTGGACATGCGATGAGGACAGAAGAGTTGGGTGCGGCGGTTAGTGTCATTGCATGGGCTCAGGCGGCGATGACTTTAATGCTCGAGTGTAGAAGGGATCTACTTCCCCCGCCTTTGCAGTACACGAGTCTTGATCGACCAGGTTCATTACGATAATCTCTTCATGGAGGAAGGAAGGAGAGTCGCACTGTTTACAATCGCTTGGTATGACAACAGGAAGCGTAGGTCACGAAGAAGACAGCACGACTTCTGGAACGAATAAGTGGTATGGCTATGCTATCCGATAGCACATTTAGCGTAAGAGCCCTGCTGCCATGTTGGGCGTGATAGCCTATCTAGACGCATGGAACAGGCTGTCGGAATCAAGAACGAAAACAAAGAAGGTGTGGCGGAATAGTTAAATTCTTGTGAGGGGTGAAAATGGCTACAGTCTGAGGTCGTATACAAAATCTCCGTCGGGAGTTAAGCCTAAGCGTGCAGCAAATTTGATGCCAGCAATCTTGAAGTCCTGATGGACACCGAACGAACTGGTAGTCTTCCATTCGCCCTGAGACTTGTTCGTAGTCTTGTAGACGACATTTCCATAGAGGGTCGTGGCCGCCATGTTGAAGAGTTGAACTTTGCGGTCGATCTCAAAGCCGTGGTCCCTTCGACCATTTGTTCTCGCGGAGGCCTTGAAGCGCAAAAACCCCTTTTGGCGGCTGTCACTAGCACCGAGATCGAGGAGCCTAATATTGAGTGCAGCTTTACCGACAGGATTGAACTGGGCCCCATCTGCCCCGACTGTGCCGGCATTGCCGGAGATGGTAACCTTTGCCGGAAGATCGGCATCAAGCAGATTGGAGAGCAAATTTGAGGGAATGGACTTGGCGATTTGAGCGGTGAACTTGAGCTTGTCGAGATCTAGGAAATTGGAGAAAGAGATGTTGTCGTAGAGCTGACCCTCGAAGGGGAGACCATTACGACTGGAGCTTGCAATTCGTGGGGGCGCAAGGGAGGCTTTGGCAAGATGGGTTGTGGGCGAGACTGGGAATGCCTTTTGCGCCGAACGGCCTTTCCTGGAAATGGGATCGAAAGGAAACATACTAAATGGGAGGGAAGTGGGATAGGGTAAGGAATGATGGCGGGACGGTAACAAGGGTTGTGGGTAAGAGGGGGGTATGGGGAGGGAGATAGACTTGCAAGCTCAAGTGTGTGTCAAGACAAGCTTTAGACAGGTTAGTTTGAAGTCTATGGCTCGATGAGCTCTCTGAGCGGCAAGCAAACAAGAGCAAATCAGAAACACCCACGTGGCCTCGTTTTGTATCTTGGGGATCTCATTAGCCACCCTATTCTGGGTTCTCCATCAGATCGCACACGACGTACACGGGGAACATGTGTGTGACGTGGGAACCGTGAGGCATAGAGCATGCAGTTAAATTTGGTACTGAACCCAAACGTTCTTGTCTTGCTCCAAGGACAGTCAGTGGCAGTGTAGCAGACAACGATGAGTACAGGTGCTTTATCTAGGCTAGTGTCTCTGCTAACATTTGTAGCTATGTTGCGGACGCTTCCTCGTCATCGCGCTCGCACCCGGATTTCCTCATCGTCACTAGTGCTTCCTGCAGTTGGACTCCTTTTTCTCTTTCATCGCCACCTACACAGACCTCGTACACCTAACCCTTCCCTTCCCATCCCATTTCCGCCTGCACCTCCAAACACCTCATACAAAGACGCTAGCGCTCTCTCTGTCCCGCGTGCTCTCCTCCAATCCCCCCTTCTGGACCGTATTTTAGTCTCCCCATCTCACCGTGTTGTCTTCTGTCCAATTCCAGGTGCTGAGGATCACCAAATACACCAACGCCTCTCTCAGTTCTGCGGCCCGTTGCACTTTTTGAGTGCCTTCGCGCCTCGAGACCGAGAGCGCCTTCTTCGTAACCAAGACGTCTTCCGCTTCGCCTTTG